ATTAAAGTTAAACAATATTATTGATGATAAATATTGTGGTAGAAATTAAGAATAGAATACAAAGACGATACCATTATAAAAAGGTTTGGTTGGATGGAACTTGAGAGGTGGTGACCGATGGTAGGTAGAAGATGGTGAGTATGAGTATTTTTGTCTTAAAATTATAAAATATATTTAATTGTTATAATATTAAAGTTTAAAGGGGTTATTTATTTTAATTAAAAGTATAAGGTGATTTTTTGAAAAAGCATTAAACTACGAGGAGATTATGTATAATTTAGCCACAAAAAAAAATATAACATAAAAATAAAAGATTACTCAAAAAATTTTGTTTTGAAATTTTCTCTTTCTAGGACTAGTTATTTTTCTCTTTTAAATCTCCTCCTATATAGCACGAACACGGTCTTTTTTTGAAAATTTGCGTGTCGGACACGTGTCCGATACGGACACACTCCGACACCCTCGGACACGCGTCCGACACACGGTCAATATTTGGGGACACGCGGTCAACTCTCGGACACGTTTCGACACGTTTTTCCGACATGCAGTCAACTTTTTCGGACACGCGGTCAACGCTCGGACACGTTTTTTTTTTTTACTTTTATTTTTTTTATTTTTAAATCTTAATTTTATTTTGTTAACTAAATATAAAAGAAATAATTTATAAATTAATTTTTTTCTGTTATGAAATTTGACATGAAAAATTAACAAAGTACGAAAAATTATTTATATTTATGTTATGAAATTTAAATATTTGATTGGTTATATGACTTATTATGGACTCTTATATTTATTAAATATAAATTATATTATATATATTAAGAATTTTATTTAATATCAAAATGTGCCCCAACGTGTCAAAATATGACATTTTTTAGAATTAACATGTCGGCGTGTCGTATCGTGTCTCGTGTCCGTGCATCATAGATCTCCTCTATTCATGAGCTACAAAACCAACTCATCAGTCTTTTTGCTTAGGAATAAGTAAAATAATAATAATTTTATATGAAATTTAATATCATTAAAAATTTTAAAATATTTATATATAAACTTATATATCATTAATAAAATATTAATAATTTTAAAAAAAATTAATATAATTAAATTTATTAAAGTTTTTAAGAAAAACTATAATTAACATCTCTTAATAATTTGTAGTATAATATAATTATATTGAAATCATTAGGCTTGCTCACTTGTATAATGTGTGAGTAGTCTGAAATCCTGTTTGGTTCTGCCGCTGTTAAGTAGGGAATTGAGTTTACCCTAGAAAATCACGACGACAACTACAAACTATTGGTTCTATTATATACTAAAAGGAAAGGAAATAAAATGAGATATATATGATGTGGGACTTCTAAACCACTATTCTTAACATAATCCATTTGCTCTTGATTCATTGTTAATTTCAAAGTTCTTCCCTGTTGTTGCCAACTTTGCCATCCCTTTACTCTTCTTTTGTGACTCCATCATATATCTATATGGTTCACGCTTCTTACTTTTTATCATGACTCTTCTCTTTTTGTAGTTGCCTATTTGTTATCTTTGAAACATATCTTGTATTTATAAGTTTTAGGCCAATAATTTAAAATTTTGGTTTAGATTTATTAAAGCAAAGCATAATTTATTTTCACTCTTCCTTTTCTTTTAAATTTGAATATGTCCATATTTTATTAAGAATGCGAATGTTATTGTTTGGTATATATGCTTGTTACAAAGGATATGCTAGGAATATAGGAATTAAATGAATCCCGAATATCATTCTCAAGAAGAAAACGTAAAAATAAGAATTAAAGAAATTGAAACAGATGTAAAATATTAAAGAATGGTGGGTAACTGCAATGGAACTTAAGAACAATAAATTTTGTAGAGACAAAGAACAAGCATAATAAAAAAGTTTAGTTTTCCAAAGTCTAGATGAGACTAAAATCAAAGTTATAAACCAAACACAAAAAATGGAATACTGGAAAGAAAGTTGTTAATTGATGGAGAACTAGTTGGAGGATACTTTTTCCCATACCAATGTTATAGCATCAATGCGCACTGAGGGGTGTAAATAGATCAGGCTGGCCTGGCCCGGCCTTCAGCATGGCCTATATTTGGTCTGACCTAGCTTAACCTTTCTGAAAAATAGAATAGATTTAGACTTATAGAAAAACATTTTTAACAAATAGGCCATAGGCCAACTTTGTCAAGTCTGGCCTAAAGCCTTGTTGGTAGGCTGGCCTATTTAATTTTTTAAAATAATATAATAAAATACATTTTAAAATTATTTTTTAATGTAATTGTATTTCCTTCTTATTTTCCTCATTTCTTTGACTCTATTCCTTTCTGATATACATTCTAGAGCTGCGGTATTATATTGACTCTTTCTTGTTTTTCATTTTTTATTTCTTATGAGAAATGTAAATGCATGCATGAATGAAACTTCCTTTGCTCTGTACAATTATTTTCCTTGCTTAGTATCTTTATTTGGAGGCCTATAAGGCCTGTATGCCATATCAGACTTTATAATTTTTTTTTTTTTGGTACATTGCCAGGAGGTATCCCCATTCAACCTTCTTCGGGCACCATGCCCTCGGGGTACGGCCCGTTTGGGCTAGCCCCTCATTGTAACAGTGGGTGCACTAAGCTTCGCAACCGGAGAAAGGATGAGACTAATCCCCCAACCGAAGATTTTTTGGCTTATCTTCTGGCCCCCAAAGATTTTCCAAGAAACTGCTTGAGGCAGGGTTTGATCCCTGCACCAAGCAATCCCTTGGGAGCTCAGCTGCCAACTGAGCTACCCTTGGGGGTTGACTTTATAATTTTTAATAATAGGTCAGGCTTGACTTATAAACGAAGCCTTTAATAGATCAGATAGGCTAAAAAAATTTTACATAGACTTAGGCCAGGAAGTCAAAGCCTGGCCTAGCCTGATCCATTTACACCCCTAAATACGCTATAGCACGCGCCACATCAATTAAATGCTACTTAGGTTATTATAGCATAAGCACAGATTTCTCCAAGCAACTTAATTTAAAACCTTAGAATTTTATCTCACACATTTCTATGTTAGATCTAGGGGTGGCAATCTGGGTTGACTAGCCCCGACCCGTCCCGCCCCGCCACCAACTTGCCTAAAACGGGGCAGGGCGGGTTGACCCGCCAAAAAATATGTGTTGAAAAAATGAACCCACCCCGTTTCATGGTGGGTTGGCGGGTCAACCCCCAACCCGCCAATTAAAAAATCAATTAATTAAAGTTCAAAAATAAATTATATTTTTTGAATATTTCTAATATTATTTTATTTTATTTCACACTTCCCTATATTTTTTTAGTCTCAATCTTAAATTTATACTAATATTTGTCAAACATTCTTTAGGAATTTATATATAGATAACATTTGTCATAAATAAAATTGTTATTCTTTATTTTTTCTAGGAAGTACTAAGATAAAAAAAAAATTAGATATCACAAAAATTTAAGGACTAATGAAATACTACCTAATTGTAAAAAAAATATATATATATATAACCCGGCGGGTCAACCCGCCCTGCGGCGGGTTGAACCCGTTTTGACCCACTTCTAGGCGCGGTGGGTTGAGGTGGGTTGGTGGGTTGAAAACCTCAACCCAACCCGCCCTGTTTTGGCGGGTTGGCGGGTTGACCCGCCGGACTCAACCCATATTGACACCTCTAGTTAGATCCAGCTCCATAGATTCTTGGTTCCAAGCTCAAAACCATTATGTGAATGCTCTGACACGGCTTTTTTTTTTTTGAAAAAAATGTGTGTCGGACACCGACACGCTCCGACATGTTCGTCACGCGGTCAATATTTTGGGACACGTGATCTTACACGTTTTTCTGACACGCAATCAACTTTTTTTGACACGTGGTCAACGTTCTAACACGCTCTGACACGTTTTTTTTTCTTTTAGTCTTAATTTTTTTTATTAACTAAAAAAAATCATTTATAAATCAACTTTTTTCCTGTTATGAAATTTGACATGAAAAATTAATAAGGCACAGAATTTTTTTTATATTTATGTTATAAAATTTGAATATTTGATTGGTTATATGACTTATTATGGACTGTTATATGTATTAAATATAAATTATATTATATATATTAAAAATATTATTTAATATCAAAACGTGTCCCAACGTGTCGAAATATGTCATTTTTTAAAATTAACATGTCATGTGTGAATGTATGTTACAATTCCTTTCGGAGGATGCATATGAGTAGTTGTAAAAGCAAAAACCGCAACACACAACTTAATTCAATATCTACATAATGCGACTTTTCAGCAAACAAAATCCTAAGATAATTGCTACACAATGTTATTCATAATAACAAATGAAAATTGAATTAAGCAAATGATGGAAATGTTTTTGTTTTTGGAAATATTTCAATCAGTTCATTGTTTCGCAACTAATTTGATTCGGAACGGGTTCAAGATTAAGGCTTTAAACCCCTTTCAAAAGTGATACCAGAGAGATTCGAACAGATATTCTCATCCCTATTTGTTAAACTCTCGTGCGCTAACTGAGCTACCATCATTTGGTTACAATGAAAATGTTTAGCTCGTAGTAAAAAGCATGTGTAAGTCCGCAACAAAAACAGAAGATGGAGATGGAAACATTATAGAAATAAACGTCTTACTACAAGGTAATTAGAAACAAGAGAAAATAAAATAAAAATAGAACATAAAAACAAAAGATTACTCGAATTTTATTTATTTTTTATTATTGAAATTTTCGCTTTATAGGACTAGCTATTTTTCTCCTTTAAATCCCCTCTATTCATGAGCTACAAAACCAACTCAACAGCCCTTTTGCTTCAGGAATAAGTAAAATAATAATAATTTATATAAAATTTAATATCATTAAAATTTTTAAAATATTTATTTATAAATTTATATATCATTAATAAAATATTAATAATTTTAAAAAAATTCAATATAATATAATATAATTTGTAGTATACTATAATTATTACAATTTCTTGAAATCATTACTCAGTTGTATAATGTGGGAGTAGTCTGAAATCCTGTTTGGTTCTGCCGCTGTGAAGTAGGGAATTGAGTTTACCTCGGAAAATCACGTCGACAACTACGAACAATTGGTCTGTGAAGTGAAGGTACCTTCGTAGCTATCAGCTTTTCTGTTTACTCTCGTTTACCGTCAAATCCTTAATTGGTAAGTCAGTTGACTCGGAAATTAAATTTTGTAATTAGTGTTCTTGGCTGTTAATCATCATAGATTTACAGTTCTAGATATGTGTTTTTCTATGTATTAAAAAATCTGCTTCCAAGTGTCATAGGTTGGTGGTGGTATTGGTATAGCTACTTATCTAGTTATAGTCCATTTCAAATTCAAGCTTTGGCCTTTGGGTAACTTTAATTTGTTCAAGGTTTTATTTACCATGTCATTTGCCGTTTCTCTCCTTTGGTTAAAAGTATTTCAATTCAGTTTAATTAGTTCCTAAATTAAAGTTATGTCTGATGAATATCTTTCTGATCAATGTGGGGAGTTCATCAACATCATTATGGAAGGAGTTTAAAGTCTTAATCATTGACTCATCTCGAATCAGACTAGTCCCGAAGCAATTAACTGATTGAAATATTTCAAAAAAAAAAAATGATATGCACCTGGCTTTGTTTTTTATTTTATTTTATTCCACCAATTGTGTTCCTTAGAGAGAGAGAGAGAATTGATTCCGTGATAACCTTGCTAATGGCAGAACGGTCTTGATGACAAGTATAATGGGCTTGGTGGCAGTGACATGGCTGAATTGTCTAAGAAAGCGTCTTCCACTAAAGACAAGGTTTCTTCATACCTTGAAAGACGACGGTGGTCAATTAGGCCAAATTTTAATGTCTCCTCCTCTTGCGTCTCTGGACCTTCCTGACATCTGGACTCCTAATTCTTCATGTCAGAGTATTCCAGTTATGCATAAAAGATGTATGTATCTTATCCCCTTGATTTGACAATAATGCTTTTATTGCTATTTGTTTGGTTCTTAAATTGTAGCATATTAAATGTTTTGATGCTTTTTCGTGCACAAGGTTAATTCTCTTTGTTCATGTTCTAGATTATTACTTTATTGAGCAAAACCTGGGTTTTGCTGTCATTGGTAGACTCCCCCAGACAATTATATAGCTTCAAAATTCTCTTCTAATGTAAGAAGTCTTTTCATTGACAGATCAAGAAGGTTTATATTTGATTTCTTGGTCTATTCAATTTCATTAGTGTGTGATAACTGTTTCTTGAATGAAAATCAACAACTAAAAGTGATCCTTTTAAGATCTTTGAAGGAAAAGAAAGCAAAACAAAACACATGCTGACCACAAGTATGGCTTTGCACGCTGCTTTCCATGTGTCAAGTATTAAAAAGAATACAATTACCTCTATCGGATTAATTTATTTATCCAAAACATATGCTAACAAATAGGCATGATTTTTGATATGGTGGCTTTCAGTCTTAAAGTTCATGATAAGACTCTCCCAAGTTCACTTTTTACATACTTTGATATGATATATATAGCTTTTTTTTAGTCTCTTTAAAGACAACTATTTTACTACATCCACATCAAATGTTATATTCGATTGCTTCATGTTGAGATTATTGTATCCCTATGAATTAGGGATTGTATAGTTCATACTTTTATATTTCTGCATTTGGGTTGTAGATATCCATTAGAGATCCGCTTTTGATTTGTTTCCTTCAAACAGATTTGTTTTCTTTTATTAAGGGATGTGTTGAGATTCAAATGTGGTGGAGTCCCACGTTTGTTGGTAATGGGAGGACCATATAAGTTGAAGGACCCATAAGCTCAATACCTTAAGGTTTTGGGTTGAATGTAGTGTTCGTTCCACTTGTTGCGGTTGGTGTAACTTAAGGCCAATTGGTGATAATTCTCCCCTACCATGGGCTCCCTCTGCCCCACTTGATAGTTGTATCAGAACCTAGTTTGGCTTGGGCTAGTGAGGTGTGGATTTCACACTAGGGGGAGACTGTTGGAGGTTCAAGTGTGATGAAGTCTTACATTAGTTGGTAATGGGTTAAGTGATGACCATATAAGTGGAAGGACCCACAAACCTTATGCCTTAAGGTTTTAGGTTGAGATGTGGTTTTGGTCCCACATGTCGTAGTTGGTGTAATTTAGTCTATTGTTGATAGTTCTCCACTACCATGGGCTCCCCCTAGCCAATGGAATGTTAGCTTGGGTTTGCAGGGCAAATTCGTCCCGACTATTAGTTCCCAAAAATAAAAAAAATAAAAAGTCCTAGTTGGATATATTCATATAATGCAGTTCAATTTGTGCAGTTGGGCCTGTATAGAATGCTAAGCAAGCAAGTTCCAGTAGTATTTCTGACAGAGTTAACAGTTGGGATGAATTTGGTGAGCTTTAGACAGATTTTGGACAAAAATTATGGACAAGGTAAACTTAATGGATGAAATATGCATGTTTTCCTTTTTGTAACAAGCTTGGAATATATGCAATATATGTTCTAAATTGAGGGGAAGTGTTACAATTATTAGGCAGCGTAAATAAATAGTTCATCTTCAATTGTGTTGACTAGCTTCTGACTATTAGGCTGTATGTTAGCTTGTAATTTGCAGCTAGTTATCTGCTCGATTACTCCCTTGATTGATTGCAATCAGGCTACGAATAAGAGATTAACTGTGTAGTGGTACACAATTTCAATCAAACTCTTCTGCTTCTATACCTACTAATAGATTGTTAAAATTTGTCATTCTTTTCTTTTTCTTGTGTTATGCATCCTTGTTAGAATTGTAAATATCGTGTACAGTTGTAGTGTCCTTAGAGAGCATATTATGTTATTACTTCCTGGCATATATTTGTATTTTAGGAGGTTAGGATATTTGGCCCTTGAATCATGGGATTAGACCATACCACTATTCTCTAGGAATTTCCTTTTTTACTTTGTACTGTACTCTGTAAACTATAAATCCGTTCTCAATTAAATATATGAATTGTCACCAACTTTAACAATTATTAATTTGCTTATCCTGTCGATTTTATTGCTTAAAATACTGTATTGAAATTGATGTTTGCCACAGCTAATGAGAAAGCTGCTGTTGTACTTGATGGAAAGTTGATATCAACGGAAATCAGGTCTAAAATAACTGGTGAGGTAAGAAAAATGAAAAAATGCCTAGGAAAAGTTCCGGGATTAGCTGTAATTTTAGTGGGCCAGAGAAGGGATTCTCAAACTTACGTTCGCAACAAGATAATGGCCTGTGAAGAAGCTGGAATCAAGTCTTTGGTGACTGAATTACCCACTGACTGTGCAGAAACAGATGTTCTTAATGCTGTAACGAGATTTAACAAGGATCCATCAATTCATGGTATTCTAGTGCAACTTCCTCTACCACAAGTAATTTCTGAATCTGTGACTTTTTACAATAACTTAGATATCTGCTGAAATTTTATTCACGAAAAGGGGCGTACCACAAAACGTTTCAAAGATTTGTCAGAAATGGTCAACCAGTGAAGTGTTTTTCAATCAGGGGCCCAGGATTAAAACTGCCTTAGAAAGGGTGGGGTTTTTCGCTCTGATTGTGTGATTTATCACATTGATCAAAAAGAAAATTAAAAGCATGATGTACTAAAATAACATTCACATAAGTCTCTTAGAATTTGGTTTTATTATTGCCAGAATATCTGCAAAATATATAATATCTTTATTTTATCTTATTAGAGTTCCTTAGATGGTCTCTTATGAGTTGTTCCTAGAATTTATTATATTTTCCTCATTTGTTTCTTTATTTGATGTGTTTTGGCACTTCCTGAGATAGTTTAACACTTTTCCCTTTTGATTTGATTATGTTGCACCACCCGCAAAGCAACATGCTCTGTTTTTTGTCTTGATTTTATCATAACATGTTAGGTGAAGACACATGAATGATTTATTTTATCTCGAACATGTCATGAATCAACTCTCCCCAAAACTTAAACTGTTTGGTGAATACACATTAATGGTTTTATATTACATTTCTAACACGCCCCTCACTCAAGAGCCATTTAGGTTTGAAGCTTGAATAATGAACAAACCCAACTATCTTATGTTAAAATTCTTTTTTTATTAGAAAAAGGGTGGCGTCAGCGGGGATAAAAACCAAAATGCCACACTATTCACAAAAAATTACCTGAATGCTACAGATCGGAATTTTTTTTCCAAAATGCCACGTCACGTAACTCGCTACAACACCTAGCAAGTTAGGTGTGGACATGTGACAGTAGGTTTGTAGACACGTAAGCCGCTGCACAGTGCAGCGAGATTACGTGGCAGACAGCTTTTGCCACAATCTGCCACGTGGCATAAAACGCTAGGCAGCTTGGCATGTTACGTGTCAAACTCACTATACTGCATAGCATGTTATGTGTCAGCTTTTCTGACACATGGCCTTACATGCTGTGCTGCATAGCATATTATGGCTGAAATTTACACATAATATGCTATGCAACACACCATGTAGCTTTTCTGACACGTAACATGCTATGCAGCATAGCAAGTTTAACATGTGTTAGACACGTAACACACCAAGCTGCCTAGCGTTTTATGCCGCGTGGCAGGCTGTGGTAGAAGCTGTCTGCCACCTAATCTCGCTACACTGTGCAGCGGCTTACGTGGCCATGAATCTGCTGCCACATGTCTACACTTAACTCGACAGGTGTTATAGCGAGTTAGGTGACGTGGCATTTTGGAAAAAAAAATTCCCTACGTGGCATTTTGGTCGTTGTCCCAGCGGCAACGATTAAACTCTAGACTACTTGGTTGTAGAGGCTCTGATACCATGTCACAAACCAACACTTCCAAAAACTGAAGCTGTTAGGTGAAAATACATAAGTGATTGTCTATTATATCTCTTAAAACTTTAGTCTTCATACTTATTTAGGCAGTTTTGGTGCCACACAAACTGTTTTTATTGATTTTGTTCTGTTATTCAATTATCTGTTTTTTGGTTTGCTTTGCTTTGCCTTTCCCCTTGATTTGTTTTTTGTTTTATAGATGGCATGCACTGTTTTCACTGCAATGGTTATCCACTACCCACACATCATTTTCTACTCACTCATTCACAACACACTTCTCAATAGTTATCGGCTCACGAAACAATACATACATTTTACACAGCCGCAAAATACCCCCTTACCTGAACCAGCAAAACCTAGGTGTATCACAAGCAATGAGACATACTCATGGAGTGCATCTTTGGAGACAGTAGTTGATGCTGTCAAAAAAAGGAACATGGGAAATAAAATAAATATTATAATTTATTTGATTCTGTTGATAAATTAAATAATTTCATCAATAGCATAACCAGTTGATGTAGCTATTCATAGAATAAATAATATAATTTTTGTTAACCTAAATTTGGTTGTCTGAAGGAATCATTTGCAAGTAAAATATTCTTTTATCATTTTTTATTTTTTTTGAATAACTAGTTGTTTACATGTCAGCTGCAACTTCATAGCAAATAATTAAAAATTGAGGATTAGCACACATGTTCAGAATTTGCTGATTTGGTGTGTGTGACTGACTGGTTGCAAAATGTTTGGGACAGCATCTAGATGAGGAAAAAGTTTTGGATGCTATATCTCTAGAAAAAGATGTGGATGGTTTTCATCCTCTGAACATGGGGAATCTTGCTATAAGAGGAAGGGAGCCACTGTTTACTCCCTGTACTCCAAAGGGCTGCATTGAGTTGTTGATCAGATCTGGGGTTGAGATTATGGGGAAGAAAGCCGTAGTGATTGGAAGAAGTAATATTGTTGGTTTGCCAACATCCTTGTTATTTCAGGTACTGTTTTTTCCCTACTGTTTTTTTCCCTCTACATGAAGGTGTAATATCATTTTATGTTTGCAGAGACACCATGCAACAGTCACTGTTATACATGCATTCACAGAAAACCCTGAACAGATCACTTCAGAAGCTGATATTGTAGTTTCCGCTGCTGGAGTGCCTCATTTGGTCCGTGGGAACTGGATAAAGCCTGGTGCAACTGTGATCGATGTTGGAACAAGTCCAGTTGAGGTGAGTTGAAACTTAAGATGCTTTTTATATTTTGCTTATTGCATATCAATTACCAAGGAAAAAAATGTGTTGGCAGGATCTTAGCTGCGAGGATGGTTACCGTCTCATAGGTGATGTATGCTATGAAGAAGCTATAAAGGTGGCATCCCTCATTACTCCTGTGCCAGGAGGTGTTGGCCCCATGACCGTTGCCATGCTACTATTTAACACACTAGATTCTGCAAAACGAATGCTTAATTTTACTTGACCTCAGCGCCTTTTGCTTGTACAATACTTTCAGCGTGGCGATGAAAATTTTAAACAATTTTCGTCATGTAAAATTGTATATCATGGTCCATAATAGTTTCTATCAGGTAAGTTTTATTTCGAATCTTGGGTCGTAATTTTGTAAAATAGGTGTTCTTTTGTGTTATTGGTCAAATTTTGGAATTATTATTTCTTCTGCTTTATAATCGAGGTGTTACAAAATATTAATGGATGACGTTTTTGTATTCTGAAATGGTAATTCCCAATCTAAGCAGTTGATATTTATCCACCAATTTATGATTATGTAACCATCACATAATGATGTATTGAATTGTATCCACTTCCTTGTTCATGTATATCCTATATAAGGATGAATAAGAATTAGATTCTATTCTACTTCCGTGTCTCTCTTCTTTTCTCCTACTGCCTTCCATTTTTCTTATTAATTTTATAATACGTTATTAGCACGATAGCCTCCACTGTATCACGCTTTCTCCACGGAGGCTTCTACCCTTATATATTGTCACTCTTGCTCCCTCTTAGTCTTTCTGTTGATGTATACCGCAAATTTATTTTTCTCATCAATCAATCATTTGAGAAGGGAGCTTTGATTTTTTTGTTTTCTCCACGAAGGCTTCTACCCTTATACATTGTCACTCTTGCTCCCTCTTAGTCTTTCTGATGGTGTATACTGCAAATTTATTTTTCTCGTCAATTAATTATTCGAGAAGGAAGCTTTGATTTTTATTTTTATTTTTAAAAAGGCCAACGACAGCACAACCACCTGCATCGACATCCTCCTTTCCATCGTCCTCCCTCCTCTTGGGGTTTCCTCAAGTATGGTTATTGTTGCCTTGCTAACAGTTATGCAAACGTGACAACAAGTAATATAGGGCGTATTTTAGACCCTAATATCGTTCCCACAAGGATCTTTGGTGTGTTTGACTTTGAATAAAATTGTAATTGCTAATCAAAACCAAAAATAAAATAAAATCAAATTAAGTGAACTGCTATTCTAAGTCAAGTGCAACGAAAATATTTTTGAGAAGATTTTCTTTTTCAAATAGAGATTCAGTTGATGCAGGAAGTTGAACTACTGACTGGAAATTAATTAAATGGAAGCATTGTAATTTTTTTTATGATTTTCTCTTAAGTTTTAGAACAGAAAATTAAAATTCTGATTTGAACAAAAATAAGAAGTGGCAGCAAAGATTGATTTGAAAACAGTATTTGAAAACAAGTTGGATTTCAATTTCCCCTTCCCTCATTTATTATTAAGTTGCTTGAAAGAAAATAATTGTTGCTTTTTCAACAGTTCCAGCTTAACAAAAATATAAAATCAACCATTGTTTCCCGACAACATTTTTTTTCCCCATAAATAACAGATGACACATCCATGTGTATCCATTAATACAAGACCTTGAAGCACCATTTCCTTAAGTTACATGGGGTAACTTCATCCCTGGAGCTATACCCATTGAGAGATATCTCACTCAACTTTCCATGTGCTTACTGTGAGGTCTAGTGTGGGTTATTTTCCAATAATTCCTCACCACTAGGAGTAGCCTATGTGTGGCCATCACATATCAAACTCGGAATGAAAAAACACACATTAAACAAGCTAGAAATTAACATTTAAGCGTTAAAACAGCAACTAATAACAAATGAGTTCCGGGTACTCTTTCAACCCAACTCTAAAGAAATTTAGCTCATTGCCATGGGTTTATGAGCATACAAACAACAAAGGTCAATTACAAACAGGAAATTAAAACTTACGAACAAAGAAAATTAAGAGGCAGAAGCTATATCCAGAGAATAGCTCTGCTACAGTACTCAGAAAAAATTACACAGAATTAAAATCCCAAAACAGAACAGATGCACTAAAATAAATCCAAAGAGACGAATAAGAGAGAAGAGAGACCCCTACAATGCTTTTTCTCCCTCCTTTTATAGCTGAAGCTCCTTCATGCAGAACGGTTCACACCTCAGCCAGCACGTGTGCTCTACGCTCTTCCCAATCGTGTGTTTCCTTTGCTAGGGTAGCAACGCACTCCAAAAGAATCTCCAGCCAACACTCCTAACAAACTCCAGCTCACCAAATCAGTTACAAGTAGTGTTTGGCTTTTTTTGTAGCAAACAAAATGGCTAGGATCAGTGTGTAGGTTGAATCACTCACTTAATGGACCATGGGTGAGGATTAAAGCTTGATGGTTTGACCGAAATCAGGGAACGGTCTGGCTTAGTGGGTCGATTTGTAGAAGGGACTCAGGATTAACGGTTTGAGATGAGGGTTTGGATGCTCACACGATGGTTGTGCTAGGGTTCGTGTTTTTTCTTCTCTTGTGTCAAAGCTGCGTTGCCTTTCTGTCAAACTCTTTCCTTTTCTTCAATTTGGGCTTCTGACTTGCCTTTCAAAAGATCAGCCCATTCTTTCTTTTCTTGATTTTTTTATTCTTTTCTTTCTTCTTCCTTTACTTTTCTTTCTTTCCTTGTCTCTTCTGACTTGTAGTGTAAAGGTCCAGCCCAACTCTTTGCCTTCTTTTTGTTCCTTTCTTTACTTGGGCAGTATCAACAAGTGGGCCTGAAAATTACAAATAAAAGCCCATTAGCACTTAAAACAGAATCATTCAACTCAATGCATTTGGGGCTAATATTATACACAAGATATTCATTTCATTTACATTTTCATATTAAAACCACATGTTTCAAGTCACATTTCATGAACTTATCAGCTGCCAAGTTGAGTTCTGGATCTGTTTGGTGCTGATCAGCGGTGTACGACGGTGGAGAGTTGCTGCAGACCTGTCCATCGAAGAGCTCGGCTGAGGATGGCGATCGATACTAGATCTGACTATTGGAGGCTGCAGCAACGGCAGACATATTATCAGATAAGTTGTTCCTCATCTCCCACTAACCATGTTTTGGCTTATTAATCGAATTTTATTAGATGAAGCCAATTTCAATACAATAATTGGCAATATAAAACTTTAGAAGAGCTAATTTGTGATTACCAAGGGTGACCAAAATGACTATAAATGATATCATAATGAGGCCACAAGTGGTGGTAAAATTGCTGATTATTACAAATATTGCAGGTAAGAAATGTGTATAAAAAGAAAAATTACCTGTTTTGCTTCCGATATATATTATTCTAATATTAGCATGATTGAAAAACATGCCTTGGTAAATCAAAAGGATATTGATTATAATAACTATATTATTTGGCATCATCGGATGGATCATCCCGGATCAAATATGATGCGAAATATTATTGAAAATTCATATGATCATGCATTGAAGAACCAGAAGATTCTTCAATTTATTGAATTTTCTTGTGTTGTTAGTTCTCAAGAGAAACTATCACCAGCTAAAGTTGAGATGCAATCTCTTTCATTTTTAAAATGCATATAGGGTGAAATATATGGGCTCATTCATCTATCATGTGGACCTTTCAAATATTATGAATTTAATATATGCATCTACAAAATGGCCATATGTTTGTGTATCTTGACATTTGTGAGATTATTTGCTCAAACGATAATATTTAAGAGTACAATAAAGATAATTCATCTTCGTAATGCTGGTGAATTTATATATTAGCAAAATTATTTATTAAATGTCTCAAATTGATTAGTAGAACATTGCCTGTGAGAACAAAGCTTCCTATTTTTGCATGGGGATATGCTATATTTTACGTTGTAGTACTTATACACATCATGTCAATAAGTTATCATCTCCCTATTACATTGGCTTATGGTCAGGAGCCAAATATAATTTTTAAATGTGCGATCTATATTCTAATTACTTCACCATAACGCACAAAGATGAATCCTCAAATATAGTTGGGAATATATGTTAGATATGAATCTCCTTATATCTTGAAATAACGACTGGAGATTTAGTTAATACAATAATGGATTATTGTTATCAATCTTTCCAACATGAGGGGGAGAGAATAAACAGTTAGAAAAATATATAATTAAAATGTATTATCAATATCTCATATAGATCCTCGCACAAAACAAATATGAAAAAATGATATTATATATCTACTGACTGATGGTTTAACTAACCAATAAGTCTAATATTCCAACTGTAAATACTCCAATTCATATTGTACATAGAAAAATGATTGGTTCCAAGGAAAAAAATCCTCAACAAGGGAAGAAAGGAGCAAATGATTTAAGATAGTCATAATATGGAGACAACTCTTAATCCTAAAAACATAACTTTCATTAAACCTCAAGGAGGTTCAAGTGCCTCAAAATAAATGAAAATGAAGAGATCTCTGTTGATTATGTCATTATAGGAAAAAGTTGGAACCGTAAAGATATAGTTGTCGACAACATTTTTGCATAAAATGAAATGATGAAATAAGACGAGGATCTTAAAGATAAATTTGTTGATGATGATTGGCCAAAAATATAAAGACGCAATTCAAATTCAAAGTTTTTGGATCTATAATCCAAACATACGAAGGTGTAAAGCCAGTGGGGTACAAATGTGCAAAAATTATAATGAAAAAATGAAGTGTGAGACATAAAACACGACTTGTAGCACAATAATTTTCACAAAAGCCTGGCATTTATTATATGAAAATATATTATCTTGTGGTGGATGCAATCACCTTCAAATATCTTATTAATCAGGCTGTATATAAAAAATTGGCATACGTCTAATAGATGTTATTATAGCCTATTTATATGACTTATTCGACCGATAATGAAATTTATATCAAAATCCTAGAAGGATTTAAAACTCTTTAAGCATATAAGAATTCCCGAAAAATTTATTGAATAAAGCTTCAAATATCATTAAATGGATTAAAGAAATAAAGGCATAAGTGGTATAATCGCCTTGACAAAATATTTATCAATTGATTTATAATTTAAAGAGATTGTATACGGATAAAGCAAATCCATTGAGTACCCCAATGGTTATGAGATCGCTTGACAAAAATAAATTATCCATTTCACCCTCATGAAAAATAATTTCTTAATCTTGAAATGGCATAATATATAGCGTGATAAAGGAGATTAACTATATGGCTCGGTTATGAATGATGACATTTACTCATATGATAATTACAATAAATATTCAAAGGATGTTATAAGAATTGCACTCTTTTTTCTTCACCAAGTTTGTAACCCACTGAGTTTTTCTTGGGAAGTTTTTTTAACGAGGCAATCTTATTAGCATAGTGAACATCTAAGGGAGAGCTATAAAAATATCAAATAAGTGGATGTTCAACTTTCTAACTCCACATCTTCTCCCATTTTATCCTCACATTTTTACTTTCTTGTTTGTAAGTCTATCACCTGAACCACACAAAAGCAAATCCCAAACAAGATTTCGATCACAAGTGGAAACACAATTATTGGATGGAGTTCAACAAATTTGCTAAAGAAATAATTTGGTAGATATAACTTAATTCAAATTTTGAGAAGCTGATATATGAGACTCAGAGACATTAAATGATGTTACCACCAGGGGGAGTAAAATATGATTGTACTCTTTTTCTCTTTTCCAAGTTTTTATCCCACTGAATTTTTTCTTGGAAAGATTTTTTATCAAGGCAGTCTATATTAACATATGAAAGGCGGTATATTAATTACAAATATTGTACTCTTTTTCCTTTGCTAAAGTTTTATCCCACTTGATTTTTCTTAGCAAGATTTTAATGAAACATATTCATATTAAATCGTCATCCAATGAGGAGTTTTATAAAATATTGATGGATGACAGTTTTGTATTCTGAAACGATAATTCCATATCTGAAAACCGTTGGTATTTATTTTCTAACTTATGATTATGTAACCACCACATAATGATGTATTAAATTATAGTTACTTCCTTATTCATGTATATCCTATATAAGGATATGATGAATAAGAATTAAATTCTACCTTCTTTTTCTCGTACTTCCTTTCATTTTTTTCTTATTAATTTCTTAATCGAGGGAAATTTTATAACGGTTGTTACAGACATTATGTACGATAAAACATCCAAATAATTGTTTTTTGCTGTCTCAATGCCATACCATTTGCATACAACTTAATACTAGCAAAGTAAACTCACTATATCATGCTATTTAATCTGCTGTTGTAACTTGAAACCATTATCACTGATCCTCACCCATTAACTGTTTGGCTTTCGACTGCAATTACTTAAAGAGGTAGAATATGCACGATTACTTGACTAAGCAAAATATGCTTCCTACACTCCGTATTGCAAGGATTTCGTTTGTGGCCATTGCAGGAGAGTTACAGCTTTCCTACAGCCACACGATATCACTGAATGTAAAACAGTTTTACACAAACATTAATTTTGTTCTCAATTCCTTTCCCCTTCCCTTCAGAGGAATAAATTGAACGTATGTATCAATCTTGGCATAAGAAAATGGAACTTTTGTTTTAAATAAGATTAAAATTACTAGAGCAAATCAGTTAGTCGGACAGCACTAGCTCATCCTGCCTCATTCAAAAGGCCTTCTCTTCCGCATTTTTGCTCAAGTCAGACTGCACTGGCTCTATGACTGGAGGTATACAGTCTACCTTGTACCGTAACACCTACATTCCACATATAATAATGCATATCAGAATATCTAACTATTTTCAGTACATGCTGAGTGAGTCCATGGGCAATGGCCCATAGCTCACTAGAGAGACATGAGTACTGACGTATCAAAAACTGTCATGGGAAGACATGAGCGAACAAAGCACGACACCCAAATAATAATAATAATAATAATAATTCAAATGAGAAAAGATGCTTTAAGACTGCCTTGTCCTATCATTTGAAATGTCAACATGGACAGTCAAAATTCATAGGATCAACCAATTCCTAACAAAAGAAACAAAATCACGCAATAACAATTAGCAGATCATGCGATAGTAATGCCGGGCAAGGACCAGTATCACATTTTCCATGCAATTTGATCAAATGTAAGCCCGACACTAGAGCACTAATATTGAGTAACCAGTCCAGGTGGGATAATTAGATAATAATACAGTTTGAAACTCACTGAATCAGTTAAAAAACCTGCATACCTTTCTAAAAAAAGTTGAATATGTGTTGTCCCAGATCAGTTTGTAGCTTCCAGCCATTAATGTGCAGAAATTCCCCTAAAATTATATGGCATAAAATATAAGATGAGTACTTAGTACTTACATGTCAAATGCCTAGTAAAGCGTATAAGCTGCAACAAACAGGACAAACTCACTTGATCAGACTCATAACGGCGGTAAGGTAACATTGGCTGTGTCGTAACCAATCAGCCCCCATGAAAATCAGAAATGACAAAATACATGTGGAAAGAGAACAAACAAAAAACAAAACAGAAAAAAGGTGAAAAACGACTGAGTGATGCCTGACAGATTGAAGGTAAGAATGGCTAATGATGAGAAATGATTATGAAGAAACCAATTGAGAATATGATACAAACAATAAGAAACAAATGACATTTGAACTTACAGTTTTTTCCCCAGAAGGACTTTCAAACTCCAAACTAAATCCAATATCCTGACAATAAACAACAGGAAGTTCACTAAGAGGGATGCCTAGTGAAAATATCATGACATCTTGAAATAAAGGTGTAGCATCACTGCGGCAATACCATATTTATCGTGCCTTGTACTAATGAAAAATCCCATGCAATGTATGAGTTTACTGCGTCCACTGAAAGTAAAACCTAAAAAAGAGAACTTTATCATATAACATGGTAAAATCAAAAACAGCACAACAAAAACTCTTTATTAAAGTAACCAAATGGTCGAGTCACTGATTCATTCAACGGGAACTCTCAAATGAGATAACGCAACTAAATTATGCACAAAAAGACCAAAAAGAAAAAGTTTTTTACATCCTATGCAGAACAGGAAACAAAATTTATAAATTAAATTAGCAACAATGATTCAACAGTCTTGCTAGTAGCTTTATTAATAAATACCTAGGCAAGAATGTTTCGTACACCCAACACCTAAGTTCCAAATTCAAGCATAAACTAGGCTAATGATTATATATTTTAATAAGAAAGACATCCGAAGTTTTGACACATCTATGATATTATGAGTCAATTGGCACAGGTCTCCTGACATAAGTTAACCTCCTCATACCACCTACAATAGTAACATCTCTAATTATTTTATAATGTTTATACAAACTAAGTTCATTTAATAGGTTAAGATACATATTCTCCAATAAACATTGATCAAAAGTTTTTCAGATTTTTAGACTTAAAATGAAAAATTTGAACACATTTACAAATATTTATCATGATATTTATATGCCTACAAAATACTGTATATTTTAATAAATAAAAACATTATATGCACATAGATAGCAGTGAAATAGGCTAGGCAGGCACAACTTTGAATTAAATAAGCCAGGCCTGTTTTGCACAAAATTGACCTTAGACTGACATATTATCAATCATAGCTTCTTTTATTAATTTTTTTCAGGCTAGGCCTGACCTGCAAAATCTGTTTAAAGTCCTATATTGCATGAAGGTCTTCAAATAGGCCAAAAAGCTTTAACAAAATTTATTGCATTTTTTATAAAAAAAAAAATTATATATATATATAAGAGAGATATTTTGACTACAGAGTAAGATTTATAAGTCTCACTTTCCATCTTAACTGTTGATTTCCACTCATCTAACGGTTATAGTTTAGGAAGCCATACTAATTAATTAATTATTAATTACACTACAAATGACAACCTTTGATTTCCGTCCATCAACAGCTGAAATAGGGAGTAAGACTCCTAAGTCTTACTCTGGAGGAGTCAAAAGAACCCTCCCCATATATATATATATATATATATATATATATATATATATATATATATATATATATATATATATATATAGCTCACAATTTTTAAAATAACCAGACAATTTGAAAAGCCTAGGCCTAATTTATAAAATAAAAAGACTAGGCCATTGGACATGTCGCCTTGCCTATTCCCACCCTATACATCAGTTTTTTTTTAGACATAAATCATAAGGACCAAAGAATGGCAAAAATGAAATCTGTATCTAGATTCTAGACAAGGCTAAGTTCAATTGGAATTTCACATAATCATGTGCATATTAGAAGAAGAAAATATTGAAACAATAATCTCACTATTCAAATAAGGAAACATAGATTAATTGATGCATGTAAAGATTCAATAAATCTCTTAACCATAAAACATTTTGTTCTTTACTGTAATTTGTTAAATTAAAAATCCATTCCCATGAAACCCTGACTTGCGAAACTAGGGGTGAGGTAAATCCTTGTACAAAGCCTCACCCTTATATTTTTGCAAGTTGTTTCCTAGATTTCAACCCAAGACCTTTGGTCATAAAGGAACAACTTTACAGCTCTAGGCTCGCCCTCTTTTTCTCTAATTGACAGAATAAACCCGACACAAATATGAGAACTCCCACATTTTTTTAATAAAATAACTTCTCCACCGTTTGTCTTCTGCCTCCCATGATCGTATAAATTTTGAGATACCTAAATTTGGTTTAGTATTTGTTTATTAGTTTAGATCGTTTCAAATTTCTTTAACACATGGTCCGTCAAATACAGATATTTATGAAGAACATTGTTAGAGTAACACATACGTTGCCAATATAATTTTAGTTCCCAAATGTCAAAAGATGTTCAGATTCATAAAGAAAATAAACACACGTCCCAATCAACAAAAGACAAGTTAATAAATTTCACTAGTCTGGTAAATATACCTCATAAGCTTTCCCAGCTGGGACACTTATCTCTTTGTAGTCATCATTTTTCCTGAAATGGACGAACGTGAAAGTTGACTTGGAAAATAGAGAGAATCAAACAAGAAATCAAGAATTGATATTGACCTTGTTTCCAAATCACCAGCAACCTCTGCTGAAATGAAGAAAGGCGAGTTTGCAAAGACCTCACTGATCAAAATAACTAGCAGGTTATTCAACAATAATTAAAAATCTAGCAGCAAAAAAAGATTTCATTTTGAAAGGTTTGATTAACAAGTTCAACCAACCTAAAAGCTTAGGTTGATATGTGGAGGCAGTTGCAAAGCTGAATATCTAGAAATGGGAATTGTAAAATGTAAACACATATGGTAGCTAGGAACAGTTGCTCATAGAGTTGAACAACTGTGAATGCAATCTTCAATGAAGCTCATATTTGATAATCAAGCAGCTCTACTTATAGCCTCTAATCCAATCTTCAATGAAAGGAAAAAGCACATTGAAATTGACTATTACTTTGCATCTGAAAAATTCTGCCCAGAGAAGTTGTTACCCTGTAATTCTAATGACCAGTTGACAGATATTTTCAATTAAGTCTCATGGAGGTCCTCGAGTCAATAATATGGTAACACAGTGCATATGATCCATTCGCACCAGCTTGAAAGGACTTGGGACATATGGGGTTCCTGATTTTCAGATCAAGATAGTTTTTGGATTGATTTTTCAGGTTAAAGGATGCCATAAGGTTGGGGCATGTAAAGTAGAAAGATATATGGGAAAACCGTACCCAATGCGGTTGAGGTCTGTTGCATTTATAGTCAGTAAATTAGGCTAGCATCGTGATGGAAAATATTTATACTGATAAGTTTCCTTTATTAGCCAGATTGTTTCCTTTATGAGTCAGATTGTGTTCTAGGATTTAGGTTTACTCCTTTAGACCCATTAGCTTCTCTATAAATTAGTACTCATTGTGTATATTTTCTACACAATAGATTAATAATATTTCAATTTGTTGTTTTCAACATGGCATCAGAGCTCCAATCTTGGAGGCATGCTTAAGCAACGAAACCCTAAGTCTGCCTTTTTTCTGCAGCCACCTACCTTCAGTGCAGCCGCCGCCTCTAGTACCTCTTGAGTGCCCAATCGTCGTGCCTTGTCAGCCGACCATCTCCAGTGAATCCTACCACCGTCAGCCACCACGTGCCACCCCATCCAATGCAGAATCTCCTGATCTATAGTTTTACAACCTCTCATGCTCAAAAAGTTCTTCATGCACTCCCAATCGTGCCTCAAAGCTTCAGAATCTCAGCCATCTCTAGTAGCCAACCTTTGTTGCCGCTTTTCAGCTCCGACCACCTTGGCTTAGGGCTGCACTCCTCTGATCGGCCAGACACCAGAATCCCAGCTCCGGTAGGCGGCGTCGTGCGCGAGTCTTTGCTTCTACACGTGAAACTCTCAGCCGCTTTGCAAGAACCGCATGGAGCTTCTATTCACCATTGTCCAACCACGTCCGATGTCGTCCAAGTCTCCTCCACCTAGATCTTCCTGATACTCGTCCATTTGAGGCGTTTAGTGACTTAAGGTGTTGCTACCCCTTTTCTTCGTGCTCTTTCTCTCACTTTTTTTGGCTTGCCTCAGACATACCATCTCAAAGGAAAGAATTACTTGTCTTGGTTTCAATTTGTTCACACTACTCTCAAAGGACATTGTAAGCTCACCCTCATTGAAGGACCTGTCCTGCCAAAACAAAACCTATGGAGTGGGATGATGAAAATTCTCTTATCATGACCTGGTCGTGGAATTCCATAACTCCTGAGGTAAGCCAACACATCATGTTCCATCCTTTTGCACTGGAGATTAGGGAGGTGCTTCAAAAGACATATTCCAAGAAAAAGGACGTTGCAACCTGTAATGAGTTGAAGAATAGCATTTTCTCTACCAGACAGGGCTCTCTTTCTATAACCAAATACTATGCATTTTGAATAGCCGATGGATAGAGTTGGATCAATATCAAAATCTAAAGATAAAATGAACGAAGACTTTGCCACCCGGCATCCTTTGTTGAACAAGATAGAATCTTTGAGTTTCTCTCTGGGTTCAACTCAGAATATGATCTTATTCGGGTCCAAGTGCTAGGTAAGGAAAATGTACCCTCTCTTTCTGAAGTATTTCAAATTGTTAGAAGTGAAGGAAGTTATAGGGAAGTTAAGATGGATGCCAAGCCTACTGAGAGTTCAGCTTTGATCTCGTCTAAGTCACTACAAATGGCACTTTCTCTAAAACCACCACCCCAAGTCCTTCCATGTCCAGTAATTAAGGACGGTTCACCTACTATAAGAAGTCTAGTTGCACCAAGGATATTTGCTATTGTCTCTATGGGAGGCAACAAGTTTTGGAAAAGCTTGGCCATGCGAACAACTCATTTGACATCGCCAAACACAACTCCGCATGGTGAAGTTTCATAGGTAACAGATGATATTACTTCTCTTAGCCGGGAGGAGCTAGAACGACTTCGGACCCCATATGGATAGTCTTAGTAAGCTCATGGCGCTTGTTCCCTAGCTATGATTGGAAAGACCTTATGCGCTCACTCTTTCCTTGCCTCTTGCACTAATTCCAAAAGGTCACAAGTTGTCAATTCTGGTGCAATTAGTCAATGACTTGCCTCTCGGATTTTTTTCTCTTTTATCAACCTCCTTCTGGTATTTGTACAATATCTATCACTAATAGATCCCACCATCAATTGTCGGTTCTGGTAACTTACAAATGAAACCTTCCATATACGCTAAAAATGTTCTTCGTGTTCTCAGGCTCTCCACTAATCAGGTCTTTGCACACAAACTTACCAATGATATGAATTGTGCATTAACCTTCTTTCGCACTCATTGTGTTCTTCAGGATCTCATCACCGGGAGGACGATTAGAGTAGCTAAGGAGTAGGGTGGGTTGTACTATCTCCTTCTAGAAGATACAACAAATAACAATAGAGAGCAGTCACCAATGACCAATCCTCAATATACTGCATAGTCGTTATCATCTACAGTCTGGATTCATCAAAAGTGTCTAGGGCATCCACCATTTAGTTTACTTAACAGTTGAATTTCATAACAAGGTAAGGTGAGCCTGTGTATTATCTATACTTCAAACCTGAAGGCCTCTTGCATGAAGGGGCATAGAGTCTTCACCTAACAACTAAAACTTTTAGAAGAATTGGTATTTCACAACTATTAACCAAACAAGACCCCTAACATAATAAGAATCCTTCCTTATATTCTAATTGTTGTGAATAGAATTGTAAAGTAGCTTAGTGTAAAGGACAAAGCCCCACATCATGTATATCTGATGGGCCTAAAAGTGAGTGGGCCAGTTAATTAGTTATTCTCGAATATTCTGTGGGTAGAATAAAACGTGAGTGAGTTGTGTAGTGAGGTATTCATGTATTCAGAAGTGGTTAGTGGGGAAATGAGAGACCTCTAGGGAACTCTTAAGCCTAGGTATTTGGTTTGAGGGGAAGTTGAGGCTTTCTTGGGTTTATTTTAGGGTTTTTTTCTGCAAATTAATGTATGTAAAAGAGGCATGGCCTCCATTATCTCTATAATTTCAATGTTATTTTTCTGGTTCCATCAATTTGGTATCAGAGCACGTCCGATCTAGGGAGTGTTTCTGGTCCAGATCTAGAAAAATAAAAAAAAATAAAAAAATGATGGGATTCAGTGAGCGTAGGGAAGGTTTAGAAAAAGTGATGAAAGTGTTAGAGGAAACCATTGAGTGGATGAAAACACGGAGACTTGAATGCGAGCAGATGAAATCACAAGGTTTTAAAAAATTCGAGGAAGAAACTAAAGCAGAAGCGGAATAAGAAGAGAAATCAAAAGTGGAAGCAGAAGAAGAAAAAAATGGAAGCTCAGCACAAGAAGAAGGGGAACTTGCTGAAGAAGAAGAGGCAGAAATAATCGCAGAAGAAACCGACAAAGAAAAAGAAGGAAAAAAAGAAAAGGTAATAGCAAGATGCATAGGAAACGAAGAAGGTGAAGCGCAAGAGTTTGACGAAGAACGAGAAGAAGCCGAGGAGGACAGAGAGAACAGACCAGGAAAAACTGAAAAAGAAGAAGAAGAAACAGAAAAAGAAGAAGAATTGCACGAAGAAGAAGACGAAGTTAGATCTGATAGAGGGAGACGATGCACAAACAGATCTGGAACCAACAAGGAGACTACGCGCGAACAGGGGCGGCGGCACAAGAAGTTCAGGCTATCGGTTTTGCTACTCACCAGAGAAGATCACGGACACAAACGCGTTGCTGGCCGGACGTGCTTGACCAAGGACAACCCAAGGAAACAGATGAAGATGAAGAAGGTGCAAAAGAAACAAATCAGCGACGAAAAAAAAGGCATAAAGAAGGAGGTTCTACTGCAGTTTCTGCCAACAAGCCCACAAGCGACGAACGGCAGTTTGATTCTCATGAATTTGAAACAAAAGTGGCCGGTGGATGATGGAGGGATCAAATGGAAGCACAGGACAACTCATAGTACGGGAATTGAGTGGGTTGAAGGAGATGGAAAGAGAGGAAGGGCAGACTTGGAATTCTGCCATATGGGTTTCCATTTTAACGTTTTGGGCTTGGCCCAAAAGATAGGGTGGTTGACAGGAAGCCAAATAGGCTTTATCCAATCTATTCAAATTACTTCAGCAGGTATGTGGGACCAAGGAAAACTTGTAGTGATAAAATTTAATAATTGGATCCTGAAATTAATAAAGGTCCAAGAGCTGCAGGGCCCAAAGAGGTTAATGATGCTTCAATTAGACTTTATTGCGTTGCCAGAACTGCCAAAGAAAACAAAGCTGATTCAGTGATCAGAAATGCCAAAGAAAACAAAGCATGTTTTGTGCCCAAATATGCGGAAGAAAACTTAGCATTAGAAGACAACAAAGGCACAAAAATTGCAATGGTGCAACGGGATACAAAAGCAACGTGTTAGCTGCAAGCAGGGGAATTTGTTTCAAGCAATGGGATCCCGGTAGAAGTTCAATCACACCCCTTCTCCTCTTTTTTTCACCTTGAGGACAAGGTGAGTTTTGAAGGGGGAGTAATGATGGGCCTAAAAGTGAGTGGGCCAGTTAATTAGTTATTCTAGAATATTCTGTGGGTAGAATAAAAGGTGAGTGAGTGTGTGTAGTGAGGTATTCATGTATTCAGAAGTGGTTAGTAGGGAAATGAGAGACCTCTAGGGAACTCTTAAGCCTAGGTATTTGGTTTGAGGGGAAGTTGAAGCTTTCTTGGGTTTATTTTAGGATTTATTTTCTGCAAATTAGTGTATGTAAAAGAGGCATGGCCTCCATTATCTCTATAACTTCAATGTTATTTTTCTGGTCTTTGTATGTCTCTTTCTATTAGTTATATAATAGAGTCTCCTCTATGTAGTTAAGACACACGGATTTACATCGCATACCTCTCGGGTCTTGATATTTAACATAGTATCCAGAGCATAACATCAGGAACCCTAATTTGTGTCAAACTTCTACCAAATTAGGGGGAGTCATTCTCAAATCCAGAAAGAGATAAAAAATTGGTTGGGAAGTTGAAGTATCTCATAGTCACTTGACTAGATATCTCTTTTGTGGTCAGTGTAATAAACCAATTCTTGAATTCTCCTTGTGAAGATCACTGAAAAGAAGTTATCCGTATTCTCAAGTACATCAAGAGAGCTCTAGGAAAAAGTCTCTTTGTATGGAAACAAAGGTCATACCAGAGTTGGGGGATACTCAGATGCTGATTAGGCAAACTACCCCACTGATAGATCTAAACTTTTGAGTATGGTATATTTGTTGGAGATTACTTAGTTTCCTAGAAGAGCAAGAAATAGAGAGTAGTTGCCAGACCGAGTGCTAAAGCAGAATATCGTTCCATGGCCGTAGTTGCTTGTAAACTCATCTGCCTAAAACAACTACTTACGTAACTCAAAGTTTGGAGATACAAACCAACCAACATCTTTCATTTGCGATAATCAAATTGCTTTGCATATTGCTTCCAATCCAATGTTTCATGAAAGGACCAAGAACATTGACATAGATTGTCATATCATTAGAGAAAAGGTCCTTTTAGGATATATGTCACTAATTTTGTTCACTAAATAATCAACTAGCTGATGTATTCACTATGTCTTTGAGAGGGTCTCTGACAGATCACATATGTAACAAATTTGGTGCATATAATCTATATGCTCCAATTTGAGAGGGAGTGTTATGAATAAAATTGTATAAAGTAGTTTAGTGTAAGGGACGAAATCTCACATCATGTATATCTCTTTCTATCTGTTAGTCAATTATGTAATAGAGCCTACATAATGTAATTAAGACACAGATTTATTTACATCACATATTTAACACTTTACTACACACACACACATATATATATATATGAAATTTCAAAATATACACTTTGAATACCTAATCAATCGTACCGTCAGAAAGCCACTGTCACAAAAATATCAATATATACAAATAAGCTGGAAAAAATTTCTATAAATTTTGCATGGTTATTTTGTAATTACAGAAACAATTTAAATTAAGCATCAATTTAACATGATTACTAACAATTAATAACAGAAATTTAAAGTATAAGCAACATCAATTTCAGCATTACTGTACCTCATAAATTTCAGGAACCTTTCAAACTCCATGGTGTAGACATCAACAGCTTCTTCCACCACAGCCATTTGTTCCTTTTTTCTATCAAATTATATTCACACAGAGATAAGATAGAGTATTATTAGAGTGCTCCATATTGTAAAAGAATACAAGAACACCAAATCTATTGAATTAAACTAACAGCCCCTCAAACTCTCTAAATACTAGCAGATTTCCCCTACATAACCTGAGCAGACACCAAACAGAAGCGAGATGTACAGTTCTGTACCAAGATAAAATAATCTTCAAAGTCAAAGTCAAGAATTTTAAATCACCGCTAAATCCAAACACCAAATAAAAGAAAACAAGGAAGATCTCCATGGGACTTGATCCTCCCTCTTATCAGTTCTATGATATCACCTAGTCCCTAAAATCTTCTAACCATTAACATAACATGTACCGAAACTTACAATTCAAATCCAATGAATGATAAAACCCCATAAATATTGTAATAGACAACTTGGGTGTGAAGGATAAAATCCCACATTGTATAATATGTAATTGTTATAGTATGTCTATATAATAGAATCTCCATTGTATTATTTAAACATGCAGATTGCATCACATATCTCTTGTTTTCCTCATTATTCAACAGTTACAAAGTTTCTTTAGGATCCTCAAAGCAACTTTATCTAAAATAAGCCTAGTGATATGCTCTAACTTGAGAGGAAGTTTTGGAAAGTATCTCCTATTAAGGAAAAATATCTTCTGCTTAGGGGTTGTACATTTGTTGTTAATAATTAGGATTTGATTAGTATATTTTCTGAATTATATCCATGTTTTCATTCTTTCCTAAAATTAGAGATTGTAAATCATGTTATATATATGCATTCATGTTAAGGATTTCCTCAAACTATTAAGATATTTTTCCTCACTTTTCAAGTGGCTGTACTGGGGAGCAGAGTGTGAAGTTACGCCATCTCTCAACAATGTGTATACTTGCTTACAATGGAAATGCAGAGATTCTGATAAAGAGGGTACATTAGCATCTTATTTTAGTGAAGATGTGTATTGTACTTATACACATGTTCAAGGTTTAAAGAGATATAAATGGATTAGCTAAAATACCCTTATAGCAAAACAGAATATTGAGACTTCACATTATTGCTCGTGCTCAACATTCATAAACTAAGAATAGTTTAACAAAATCAACCATAAAAGCCAAAAATTAAACTACCAAAGATGCAAGGTATCTCACAATGTCATGGCTCCATATCGTGCCCATGCCAATGAAAGGAAGAGACGAATAGAAAGAATCATAAGGGTGAGGCTGTATAATGGTGGTCCATAGCGATGTCGCTGCTCCTCCATGGGCCTACAAGTAGACAAGAGCTCTTGCGTGATTGTTATTCATATATTATTATCACATACAGATATGAAGAAAGAAAACTTGAACAACACTGAAAAACAGTAATTTCATACCCATCGTCATCATTTATCTGCCGGGTAAAATCAAGCAATACCTACAACTCAAACATAAAACTGTTTCTGAATATAAACAAATCATGAGTAAAACAACGAGTATTTTAAAACACAATAATCCAAGCAGTCCAAATGCTTTTAAATTGAGCAGAAATACCAAGATGATGATATCAGCCATGAATCAACCTAAACCTACCTTCATTTAAACTAATACATGTTACATGGAATACCTAAAGGAGTCAGCTAACCCTGTTATTTGAAAAAATTGAAATAAAGCTATGTATAAGCCAAAAAAAAGTTTGTACAAGCCAAAAAAAAAGTTGCATAAGCCAATTTAAGTAGACAGAATCAGATAATAGATGCCAAACATGAAGAAAAATAAAGAAAGAAGAGTTCAGCGCGGCCGTGAATTGACAATTCAAGACAGCCATACCTCAGGAACCCCAACCAGGTACTTCACGAGTGTTTTATAGACCCCTGTTGCAGAACCAAGCTGAGCTAATTGGCTTCTCCTGTATCACATAAGTTGTTTAATATATTTCTTATGAATTATTCACAATGAGCCTGACAAGTGTTGAACCTCACCTGTCCATTTGTTGTTTCCACAGCAGAGCATATCGATCGCGTATGCTACCACCAGAATTTACCAAGGTGTCAACCTCTGCTTGTCTATTCCTCTCCGAGCGTTCCCGTTGTTGTCTAAGGAGGGTTCCTCGAAAATCTTGAGGCAAATAAGTCATAACTGCACATAAAGCTTGTTGAGTTAGAGAAGAAAGAGGCAAAAGATTGAGTGCACCATGTGCCTCAATTAAACCACAAACTACTGAAATTGGACAAGATATAAACTAACTATTATATGTACTATGAATCTGGACATTTAAGTTACAAGGTAATAAACTGATTGTACAAATCATCAAATTCAAATGCCTCATGAATTTAGTTGAATAGAGAGGGCAAAAGATCACATGTTTGAGTTTAGGGAACAGCCTTTTTGCAAAATGCTAAGGTATAATAACTATTTACAATCGACTTCACCCCTACCCTCTCAAAGTTGGTAAGGCAACCCCTTATGAATTTGTTGAACAGAAATTTCAAAATCTCAACAAATAAATGGAAATCAATATGGAAGAATGAACAGAAAAGCAAGTACGGTCGGGCATATGTACAGCTAGTCAAAAATATTTTTTTAATAGAAAAGCAAGTCAAAAATAATAATACATGCGTCGATATGTTATGACATGTATAACCATAAAGTTGATTCACTTGGATACTAACTTGTTGATGTCATTCTACAGAAATAAACCAGAATGAAAATGAAAGATCATTAGCTCCAAGGCACTACCAAATTGTTAACCAGCCATCTTAAGGCAAACACTCAACATCTTAACAAGTGTAGACCTTTATGTCCCATCTTAACAAGTTCATAATTAATAAGTGCAAATATAAATAAGAGCACAAGTTATACCCAACATATTAAAATTTGTTGAGGAATATTGTAAAATTGCAAATATTTGAAGCATGTAAACAGAAAATAGAATAAAGAAGTGAAGCAAAACATTCGCAAAGATGTGTGGCCAAGGAGTTTCATCAACATGCTAGATTTAACTATAACGAAACCTTCTCCCCTGTTGTAAAGCCAGTTACAGTTCGTACTATCCTTACCCTTGCACTGTCTAATCACTAGCCATTCCAACAAATGGATGTCAACAATGCATTTCTCAATGGGGTCTAGAGGAGGAGGTTTATATGACTCAACACCCTGGTTTTGAGTGGTCTGACAGGTCTCTTGTTTGTAAATTACACAAGGCATATATGGTATCAACCAGACACAAGGGCCTGATTTGAGAGGTTTGCTCAATCTCTCATGCATTTGGGGTTTAAATCTAGCAAATGTGACCCCTTTTATTCATTAACAAGCGTCTATATTTTGGTTTATGTTAATAACATAGTCACAGGGCAGTGACTCTTCTCTGATTCAGCAGCTTATCCCAAGGCTACACTCTATGTTTGCTCTCAAGCAGCTAGATACTCTTGACTACTCTCTTGGTCTCGAGATAAAAACTTGTCTACATGTGCTCTTTTAGTTTCTCACCCCAAATATATTAGAAATCTTCTTGCCAGGACTAATAAGCCGGAAGCTAAGGGTATCTCCACACCTATGCCTGCAAGTTGCAAGCTCTCCAAGCATAGGGCAAAACTACCATCCAGACCCTCAGCAGTATAGATCCATAGTAAGAACACTCCAATATGCTACTCTCACTCGGCAAGAGATTAGTTACTTTGTCAATAAGGTTCATCAATTCATGTCTCAGCCTTTAGAGGAGCATTTGAAAGTGGTCAAAAGGATACTGTAAAGGGTATTATTTCTCATGGGCTTCTCCTTCGGCCCACTGATCCAAACAGCCCTCTTGTCTTAACAGCATTATTTAATGCAGGTTGGGCTATTGACCCGGATGACAGGAGATCTACTTTTGGAGCTTGACTCTTCGTTGGTCCCAACCTAATCTCTTGGTGGTACAAGAAGCTAATGTGGCACGATCCAGCACTAACGCTGAGTATCACAGCATTGCAGTTACCGCATCTGAGATTCTTTGGGTTCAGACCCTCCTTCAAGAGCTTCAGGTTCAAACTCAGGTGCCAATTATCCTTTGTGATAACCTCAGCATAGTTTCTCTATCCCATAATCATGTTTTGCACACAAAGACTAAGCATATGGAGCTTGATATATTTTTTTATACATGAAAAGGTCTGGATAAGAGCTAGGGATGCTACCATGTTCCTGCCCAAGATCAAATTGCAGAAACCTTTATAAAGCCTCTCTCAGCAGCTTAATTTGGTGAACTTAGGGACAAACTCCTGGTCGTGGACCACTTACACTTGCTAAAGGCCTTGAGTTTGTGGGGGAGTATTTAAGAATATGTATCTTAATATTTGTATTTCCCTATATTTGTAATAGTATATTATGTCATCCTAGAGGTTACAAGTCTGTTAATCAGTTGTTCTTTCATTTTCTCTCAAACTCTATTAATGTTGATGCATCATTATAATAGAGGAGGGTCCATTCGAGAAATGCCTGCTACAGGAAAGGCTGACCACTGAATTTAAATTAAAGACCTTGGAAGCTGAGATACTTTCTTGGGATAGAAGTTACCTACTCCAAACAAGGTATTTTTATTTCTCAAAGAAAGTATGTTTTTGATCTCCTTAAGGAGGTTGGAAAACTTGGATGTGAAGCTACCAACATCCCTATTGAGCAAAATCACAAAATAGTAAGTGAAGAGGAGAGTACCAAGATTGACAAAGGGCAGTATCAACGGCCATCATGCCAAACCTAAATTTCTTCACCCACCCCCAAACTGTGAACTAAATAAATGTTTATAAATCTATGCATACAAATATGAGTGTAATCAGTGTATGCATGTACTTATGAATATTTTATTCATGAATGTGTCTATGTAGCACCGACACTTCAAAAAACCTGAAGTGTTGGACACCCAACATGATCTGACGCTCTCCGACAAGTGTCTGACAAGTGGTCAACATTTCCGACACGTTGACCAATCCAACATGCATTTTTGTAATAAAATCATAATTTTTAAAATATTAAAATATATTAATAAAATTATAATTTCAAACAAATTAAAAAGCATTTAATAAAAAGTTAAAAATCAGTGTTTCCTTCCACTCATAAACAAACCCACGAGAGACCAAATAGAAACCCATTTCTCTCCTATCAAATAACAAAACCATAAGTCCCTAAACCAGACTGTGGTGTGCCGACCGACGGTACCCGCAACTGCGACGGAGGGTGGTTGTGGCTGAAGAACGAGAATCAACGATGAGCGGCTGAGTGCGGTAGAGAGAGCGTGACAGAATTGTGAGCTGTGACGGCAACTCAGCAAGTTCCAACGCGCAAGCGACAGCGACTTCCAGGGACTGGCGAGCGTATGGTGCAATGGAGAGGTTAGGGAAACTAAGTATTTTCTCAGTTCAAGTATCACTCTCCCTTCCCCCTTATTTTCCTTTTTTTTCCCTTATCTTTTCAATTAGTTGAAACTTGGGAAAGAGCCTCTATTCTTTGAAATTATATATGTTATGTTTGATTGTTTGGCATGTTATGTATGTTTCTTTCTTCGGTTAGCATGTTACAAAGATGCTTTCCTTGCCTCCACTTGAAAAAAAAACTACAATAAATGATTGAGATGAAAACAACAAAGTAGGTACACGGTTTTGTAGGTGGTCCTACTTGAGATTGAGATTTTTGTGAATCTTTTTGGATACTAATAATGGTTTTGACTACAAATTGGACAGAGAACATGTTAGTGTCAGTTCACAATTTATTGGCATGCAATTCGCTCATAGAAATGTAATATACACTACATAAATTAAAAATATTATTAAGTATTAAAACATGCCCCAACGTGTCAAAATCCAGATTTTTTTAGAATTGACATGTCGAAGTGTAGTACAGTGTAGTGTCGCTTGTCGGTGCTACATAGTGTGTCATATATGTTCTCACCTCCTATTGTGCTTCCCAGTCCACGTTCATGCTTCATAAAAATGGATCATAAATTTCTCATTCCTGAGGCAGATGTCCTTTTTATACAAGTAATGCTTAATTGATAAACCAACAGGATCTTAAACGCATTTAAAGTAAGGTAGTTGTCCTTTTTTACATCTTTTGTGAACAAGGATCTATCTGTTCACACTCCCCCTCTTGGCTTGGTCTCAATCTCCTCTTCTCAAATTCTTCCTTACTCTTCCCTTTCACCACCACATGATGCTGAAGACTACCATTGATTCTCCCGCTTTGGAAGAATGGAGAAAGTTTTATGTCTACCTAAGGCACTGTCTGAGTTGTTCCTCAGCTGCATGTCAGCTTAATCATATTTTCATTACCACCTTATGCTTCCAACATAGCTCAACATTCAACAGTATTCTGGCAGCATATACTTTGAATGGCCACATGTTTAAGGATTTGGATCCTCTAAAGTAAGGGATGCAGTTTACACAGTAAAGTAAATGATTATAACGATTGACAAGAAAATAAGGATTAGAGAATTTGTAAGTTATAAGCACCTGCATGATCATGGATATGTAACAATCGACTTCAGTGATTTTCTCATAAAGGGCTACAATCATTCACTTTACTCTCTAAAGTACACTCCTCACCTTATAGGATCCAAATCCTATCTTTAAGCCCCCACATCAGATTTTCCAGTTCCACCACTGACATGTAACCATTTTTTTTAAATGATTCTAATTAACAATGTAAGAAATAATAAAGGGAAGGACCCACAAAACAAAAGAAAAGTAAAGGATATTTATCTTCATAAAAGTAAGTTGACAAGAAAATGAGAGCATATAATCTTTTTCTTAATAAGTAAAATTTATTGAAACACAAAGAAGATGATGCAAGGTCAAAGAAATGAGATGAAAATCACACCCTGGATATGAAATTCATACAAATAATAAACCAATAATAAGGTTAAAGTAGCAAACTCATGGAGGCATAAAAAAGGCATTGTATTGAAGTAACCTTTACTCCCCAATGATAATGGTATTATTTTGCTCCAGTCTTCAGTTCTATAAAATGCAATACAACATTTTCCACACCATAATCTCTTGACCAGAACCATTTTTTCATACCTCCTGTGGGCAACTGGGAATAACATCTGACACAAACAACCAAGCTGGCAAGCTCCAAATTAAAGCAATAAGGTATCATCAACTGATTCCCCAATGTCTTATTCTGATGCAGATAATATTCATATTTATGGTTTGCTGTTCTTATACTCTTTTTCTTGGCAGAAGAAGATATGTTGTCGTGTGTCTTCAACTTTTACATACAGTTCAACACTTGTCTAGACATTAACTATAGGACAAAAATAATAATAATAATATCCAGCTAGCTTATAGAAGAAATTGATTTTTCAAATAGGTTTTGCCTTCTTAAATTAGTGTTTTTCTAATAGAAATTTACAAGTCTAAGACCTTTTCTTTGTACTTCCTAAATCAACCACAATTTTCCCATTTCTCTCCTTATGCCCCTGTATACATATGTTACAGACTTAGTGCTGCTTCATGATTTCCTCTACGACAAATAATACAAAATAACTATACTTGTAGAAACAAAAAGCCAAGTATGAGCCAGCAAAATGAACTTTGTCACAACCAAATGAAATTGATACATAGGCAATTAGAAGCTTGCTATCTATTGAAAACAAGCAATTCAAGCCAAAGGCAAGGAGGTACCTGTGTTAAATACATGTTCAGCATTTTTATTTTGGAAAGATTCCAAAACCTTCAACATATTATGAAGTTTATCTTTCAGCTTCCCAATCATAACAGCAAATTCAACATTGTCAGGTGTGGACTGCTGTTTCAGCTGCATCCAAAACATTGCTGTTATCTAAGAATGTGCACAATTTGTAACTATTAAGTGTTTTATATGAACTTCACAAAAACTAATATCAAATTATCAATAAAAAAACTACTGTTTATAATAATCATGTTGAAAGATTTCGGAAAGTATCTCCTATTTAGGAAAATACTTCCTCATTACTCACAGGAGTCCCGCTGACATTAACACCTACTTTAGTGCTGCTTGAGCTAATCCTTCATTGTTTTCACACATTAAACATAAGAATACTTTTATTTGCTAATATGATGGCTCATCACAGTTCAGTAAAGATTTGAAGTGGATTCACTTAGACTAAGCTATGTATGAATGACCTTTTATAATTCATAGGAGTCCTTGGTCCTTTATTTATAGTTCTTGTATTGACCAGTATGAAATTAGGTATATCTTTATCACAAATTCATGTTTCTACAATCTCAATCTGTATTTACTTGAATGATGCTACAAATGAGGGTTCCTAGATCAAGAACCCCTGACTCCCACTCCAACACCATTGACACATCAGCCTTTGTAATTACCTCCGGATCTTGTGGTGGATGTGGAGGCCATTGCAGAAAAACAGCCCACAAAGGTCTTGGTAGCCTCTCCCATGTATTTAATGTAAACAATCAGACCACACTCAGGAGACCTATAATTTTGTTCATGAGTTTCCCAAGAAAATTGTCAATGTCACTCAACTTGACCCTAGTCAAGAAGAAGAAAAGAGATCTAAAAGTTTTCTTGGGTCTACCACCTTTTACAATTTCAAAGATAGAGCTCTAGTAGTATCCCCACTTGAAGTCAGCCAAAAAGGCCCAACTACTAATACTACCATTGTCATACGGATGATCCTACAATTTTCATTTCTTATACAGGTAATAATTCAACACCTTGGATTCTTGATTTAGGTGCCTCTTACCATGTAGTTGGCAACCGGTCACTTTTTTCTTCTCTCTTCACCTTATTTTCTCGTTTTATCATCCAATTGATGGTTCAAAAGTGTTGGTCCAAGGCATTGGTCATATTTCATCCATTGCATCGATATCATTAAAATCAATCTAACACAGATTTCCTTAAGTCAACTTTTGAGATGATCAAAAACACTGAATCTTTTGTGATCCAAGACCGTGGTATGGGATAGACAATTGGCATAGGACATGAATCACAAAGACTATACTATCTCAAGTTAAACCCTTAGACGTTGTGTGCTGCTACAGAATCTCTCAATTTTCTCCATCAGCATCTCAACCATCCAAATCTATCAAAACTGCAACAAATGGTTCCAAGTTTTTCTGAGCAAGTCCAAATTGTTCCACCTCAGCAACCCTTTATCACCTATAGACATCGCCCAAAGGAGATCATTCCTATGACTAAGGAGACAAGCGAGGGTCCTCGTGAATCATGTCCTACTCCTACAGGTTCTCCTGCAATGGACCAATCTGCCCCTGGTGAGTCTATCAATGATAATCTCATTAACCTTCAGAAAGGTATTTGGTCCACTTGAAATCCCCATTCTATTTATAATTTTTTGAGTTTTCACCATTTATCCCCATCATATTAAGCTTTCATGTATTCCTTGTCTTCTGTTCAACTTCATAAAACTACTGGGGAGGCCCTTTCACACTCTGGTTAGAGGCAGGACATGACTGATAAGATGATTTCCCTTGAGCACAGTAGTACATGGGACATGGTTCCTCTTCCCTTGAGGAAACAATTGTTGACTTTTGTTGGGTATATGCTATAAAGGTAGGCTCATATGGTCACATTGACTATCTCAGAACTCGTCTAGTTGCTGAAGGGTACACTTAAACTTATGATCTTGGTCACAGTGACACATTCTCTATAGTAGCCAAGATGGATTCTATTAGACTCTTTTTTTACATGACCGCAATTGGACATTGGTCGTTGTGTCAACTAGAAATCAAGAGTTCCTTCATTCAGGGTGACCTTGAAGAACAGATATATATGGAGCAACAAAGATCAGACACCAAAACTTAAACACATGCACAATACTGGATTACACCAAATTAAAAAGTTAAAAGAAAGAAAGACCAATCGTTATCAAAGGAAAAAGTAGAAGTCAGCCAATAGTATCCAAGAAAGCTATACACACCAGAATAGCATCAACACAAAGACAACGTTGCAGTAGAAGTTGTACAGAACTAAATAACCAACAAGCTGATAATTTCTGTGTCCATGAACCAGAAGTAATTTTTTCAAGAACTGAAATTGTCCCCCGAGCTTGGTCAAGAAGAGTTATGTTTTGTTGTAAGTTGAAAAGGTCTCTTCATTGGCTGAAAAACAATACTATTGTGCAAAAGTTTGGTATGACACTAAATGAAGTTTATAACTGAGTCTTCTATCAGCATACTCCATCTAGTCAATATATTTATCTGATAGATTATATGGATGATATAGTTATTACATGTAATGATCATGACAGAATATCTTAGTTGAAGGAGCCTCTGTTTAGTCACTTTCACACCACTTGGGTAGACTCCAATACTTTCTTGGTCTTCAAGTAACTCAATCTGGGAATGATATTGTGATTTCACATAGAAAATATGCTTTGGATATATTGGAGGAAATTGGTATGATAGAAAACAACCTATTAAAACTCCCATAGATTTGTACAGTAATTACAAAATCAAGAGGAACCTTATTCAGTTACTGACAGATATAGGTGAGTAGTTGAGAAACTAAACTACGTTACACTAACCAGATCAGACATTTCCTTCGCAGTCAGTGTTATAAGCTAATTCATGCAATATCCATGTGTTGTTTATCTGTAATGCTATGAATCATACGATATTTTGAAAAAGCTTCGGTTGTGTAAAGACAAGGGTAATGCTCTAGTTGTGGGGTACTCTAATGTTGATTGGGCTAGTTCACCTATTGATAGGAGATCTACTTCAGGATCTTACGTCTCATGTATCCTGGGAAAGCAAAAAGCAAAATGTAGTTGCATGGTTCAGTGCAGAAGCTGTGTACAGAGACATGGCAATGGTCACTTGTGAACTTATATGGAAGAAATAGATACTTTGAGAGTTGAAGTTTGGAAATATTGACCACATGAAGCTATACTGTGATAATCAAGTTGCTTTACATATTGCATCAACAACAATTTTCTATGATAAGACCAAGCATATAGAAATTGATTGTCACTTTATTAGGGAGAAAGTTCTCTCCAAGGAAATAACCATTGAATTTGTCAATTCTAGTGATCAACTTACTAATATTTTCACAAAATCATTGTAAGGACCTCAAATACACTTCATCTATGACAAGCTCGGTGCATGTGATTTGTATGCTCCAACTTTAGGGAAGTGTTGGAAAGTATCTCCTATTTAGTGAAATACTTCTCATATCTCCTATATAGGGACTATATATACATATAAATAATAGAATTTGATTTGTACTATTTTCATTAATCTCCTAGTTTCCTTATTTTCCTAACTTACTAATATTAAGATTATAAATTCCTAGTTTCCCAATATTAAAGATAGTAAATCACTTATAATAAAAGAGGCTGCAAAGGATTTCCTCAAGCAATTCAGAAATCTATCTTCTACAAAGGGAAATCATTAAGTTACCATAGCATGTATTCATAGGTTACACATATTGCCTTCATAAAAGTCAGATAAAGAGTAAAGAAGGGAAAAATGAATTAAAAAAGTATGCATTACCGCCTCTGGCCAATTATATCTTTCAAGTAAAAATATTGTTTCTTCAATGTACTCTCGATTCTTCCACATGTTCTCATCAATTTTATGCGGAGCTTGGCCATCAGCTTCCTTTATCAGTATGCTTTCTCCTGGAGAAAGATCAACTCTCAAATAAGTTTTTTTAAACCAAAATACTCGTACTCAAAGGCAAAACAGTTAAAGATGAAGGTGCAGACACCATATACAAGTTTAATTTTTATTTTATTTTTACTTATAGGATGAAATACAATGTTAGTTATTCTCTATAACAACTCATACGAGCTGTTTTGGTGAGCAAAATTGCAATGTTTAGTTGATTCACATTATCTTGGATGCGTGAGTATGAAATGCATAGCCTTGTAAGCATACCAAGCAAGTTGATTGAAATAATTACATGCAAAACAGATCTGGCAATCAGGGATTAGCAAGTAATGAAGCATATAATAATAATAATAATAATAATAATAATAATAATGAAGAGGGAGAGAGGGAGAGAGGGAGTGAGGGAGTGAGAGAGAGAAACCTTGTGTAGGAGGTTGTTGATTGAGGAAATCATTGGAGAGTGAACGAATCTCAGAAGAAAGGCGAGAGACATCAGGAGAAAGAGGAGTAAAAGGGTGTTTGTCGTAATAAGAAGCAAGAAAGGCCCTTGTTATGGGAACCAGACCCTCTGTAGAAGCCATCGGAATCGGATGATCAGATCAGATCTGATCAGAACAATAGATAGATCTCTCTCTCACTCTCTCTCCCTTACTTGTGTCTTCTCTTTACTCTTGTTACCTATATTCCATTCGAATATTACTTCGTCTTTCCCTTGTTACGATAATGCTTTATTCCTTTCGAATATTCTGTTTACTCACTGGTCAAGTCAGATGCGATGGAAAATTAGTCATACATAGAACTGCCTCCACTACCGTACAAGGCTAATCTCGCCCCTTTTCAGATTTTACGAATGTTTTAGAAGATTTGAAGGCTGAATTGTCAATACAGGCCAAGTAGATTTCAAGTTGAATTTTTATCAAATATATTTTTGGAAGAAAATTTAGTTTTGATTTTTATTAAATATATTTTGAGAAAAGTGTTTATCCGTTTAAATGACATAATTTGTGTCATTTTACTCTCACAAAATAGTGGAACCTATATACCTTTAATTTTTATTGTCAATTCTCTCTTCTCTTTTATCTATTTCTTTATCCATCGTAAAATGATACAATTTTACATTCTTTAAAATGACACGTGTATATTTTTGGTAAGGGATGAGAAACCTTAATCATGTCTAAGTCTCGAGACTTTGGGATTAGTTTTATATCTAGTTCAAAAAGTTATGTCCCGATTTTTATCAAATATATTATTGTTAATATTATATAAAAAATTAATAAGTTGATAGTATTATCTAAGGGATTAATATTTCTCATGTTGTTGAAGATAAAATTATTTTGAAATAATAATCTCGTTATCTAATTTCATCATATACTCTGTTATTTTTTCTTTTCTTTTTTTCAATCACAAGTTTAAAAGTACATTAATACTTTGTGTAACATTCTCTAGGAGGCGTTTGGTTAAGGAGAAATTTTTTGAATACTAAAGAAATGTAATTGATAGGAAAATGGTTGGAAAGTGAGTTTGGTAGGAAAATGTAAAAAAAAATTGTTTGGTTAGAAAAAAATTTACCGGGCAAATTATGTAAGATTTATAAAGTCTATGTTTGGTTTGAGGTAAAATATAGATGGGGAAATAACTTCAAATTACAAATATAACCCCATAAAAAAGTGAAACCTTGACACTTTAGATGAGGGTATTTAAGTCTACTAGTGGGGTGCTCTTTTGCCATTTAGCTAGTTAAATATAAAATATCACATTCAAGTTGTCTTTCTAAATAGTAACTTTGCATTGCTTTCTATGTACAAATAAAGAATGCTATGCAAATACAATACCTAGGGAAATTTTGTAAAACCTTCTACCTAACATTGCTTTCTTACTTTGCCAATTTGATTTGCATAGCTAAATTTTAAGAAATCTTCAACCAAACGCCACCCTAGGAATTCCTTTTTGCCTTAATATATGTGGGAATTGAAGTTTAAAGGTACGTCAATTATCATATATGCCCTTATAGTTTGCAAAAAGAAAAATCATCATATCATTTTGTTTAACACCGTTAAATATTACTCAATTCTTCCAATTTTGCCCCTTAAAACCCTATTTAATGAGTGTCTTATACTTGGCATTAGATTGATTTTACTTGTAATGAATGTGCTCTTCTAGTAGTCAGTCTCCTTTCATCGTGCATTTTCCTCTTATTTAGTTGGTTGAGAGGTTGATTAGTGCAAATTTAGTTTGTGATGCGTTAGTGATCCTTAAATACTGATCTTTACACTACCTCTTCTAATGATTGGTTTTCTTGATATTTCAACGACAACAATAACAAGCCTCATTCCCTTAGATGGGAGGTCAGCTACATGGATCAATGCCATTGGGCTCTATCAAACACCGATTTTTTAGTTTGTTTATAGCAAATTCTTGTTGATTATTTCTCCCAATGTTTTCTGAAGTCTTCCCCTCCTTTTTATAATCGACCTAATCTTCCACTGAATCCATTTTCACACTAACTTCTTCTCACATGATCAAACCTCTATTGGTCTAGACAATTACCCAAAGAAAAAGTAATATACATGATAATAGTGCTATTTTATAAGGAGATTTCTTATTAAAAAAAATGTCAGTCCCAAATGCTAGCATTTCCACAATGCAAGCAAAAAGTGTATAGATAAGCATAAGCTCTAAAGGGATACTAATCAAATTGCTAAACAGACAGGACAAAAAATGTAAGAACCTAATGTCTCTCTTGCAATTTGTATATAGATGAAATGTATAATATGGTCATCAAGAAAAGCACTTCAACAATTCCTGTATACATAGGGATCAACATTGTCTAAAGCATTTCAGGCATCCACCTAGATGCTGAGTTGAGGCCTTGCACGGACCAAGACAGAACACCTTAATGATACTTTATAAATGCTCCCACATCTGGTTGATGTGGGATGAAGTACCAATGTTTTTGCTTTTCAGAAAAAAAAAAAAAAAAAGACAGCCACAACTGTTTGAACAAACTTACAACCAGTGAGGATGGAATTAAAAGGAATATTTGAATCTACCATTCTTATTTTAAGCTTAGAAAACAGAAGAAACACACACACAAAGCCATTCCATCAAGTGTAGGAGTTGCTAATTGCCAATCATGTGGGGAGCTAGGACAAAAGACATGCTAATTTCAGAGGATTAAGAGCTCTTAAATGGGACATGCAAGGTCAACAGACTGAGTTTTGTGGTATTTTGGCTCCTTCGTGTAAGCTATTCTGAGTATTCTCCCTCATTTCTCTCTTCTCTAGCTGAATCACACTTCTATTTTCTTTTCCTGGTCACCTCATACCAGACCCAGTACTTGACTTGTTAGGAATAGAAAATACAAATGAATAGGGGTAGTGGTGAACTTTCCAGAGGTAAAATTGGAAGCATTGAGTAATATTTAACAGTGTTAAGTAAAAAGATACGGTAGTTTTCATATTTGCAAATCACATAGATATATATAATAAAAGAAATCACAGGGATATAGATTTTTGGTTTACACTGGAACAAAATAAAAATAATAATAATTAAAGATTAAAAGATTAAATAATAATTATTTAATAAATGAGCTTTATTAATCTTATGCAATAAGAGAGAAGATCTCTATCCACTAGGATTAGCCTAGTGGTGTGGGGTGTGTGTGTTAGGTGTATGTAGTATAGTGGTGTGTGTTCAATTCCCAAGTAATGCAAAAAGAGAGAAGATCTCTCATGTTATAGAGACAATCATGTGTGGAATCCACTCACTTATAAAAAAAGAAAGAAAAAAAAAGTAATATGAAAATCGATGTATGTGTAGAAAAGATACTCTCCCACAACATAAGAGTATATTTTCCCTTAATAAATATCACCTAAAATAAATTAAAAATTAATAATATTATGTTACTGAATATTTTAAAATATCTTAGTAAATACTGAATTATTAAGTAATATAATATTGCTTAATTTTATAACAAATATTGAAACATTTTATTGAGACATTTTATAGTGATATTATTAAGTAATATTGAATCTTCAATAATAAATATTTTAAAATTAAGTAATATTATTGAGTCATTTTATTGCAATATCGAATAATTTTATTGAATTAAAAAATAGAACAAAACAAAACAGTTCACCATCAATTTTTACTAATTTTGCATGTTTTGTACCAGTTTTGCTTTTTTTTTCATCTATTTTTTGAGCTAAATAAATTGAACACCTGACTTCAGTTAACTGAAGTTTCATACGGCTTTTACCTGGAAGCATGGACAGGCGATCTTCTAAAATATTTGTGTGTCTCTAACACGCGTTTGATATGCGGTCAATATTTTAAAACACGTGGATAACTCTTCGAAGATCAACTCTTCGACACGTTCTGAAATATTTTTTTACTCGTAGTCAACTTTTTTGACACGCAGTCAACGATCTGACACGCAGCCGACACGTTTTTTTTTTTAGACTTAATTTTATTTTATTAACTAAATATAAAAAAATAATTTATAAATCAATTTTTTTCTGTTATGAAATTTGATATGAAAAATTAACAAAGTACGAAAAATTATTTTTGTTTATATTTATGTTATGAAATTTGAATATTTGATTGGTTATATGGTTTATTATGAACTATTCTATGTATTAAATATAAATTATATTATATATATCAAAAATTTTATTTAATATCAAAACGTGTCCCAACATGTCAAAATATGATATTTTTTAAAATTAACGTGTTGATGTGTCATATCTCGTATCCCGTGTCGATATCGGTGCGCTTTTACGCCTTCGCCGTGGGAAAAATAAAACGACATATGTAATGAAAATTTTCCTCACAAATTTTACCCTATCATGTAATAAGCGTTAAGTTTTACATAAATTATTTTTCATTCATATATATTCCAAAATGGTTGAAATAACCTATGTGAAGTCCCTATTATTGTACGTGACGTGGCTGTGCAAGCGACACTTCTATCCCATGGAAAATGATACTGCCATCCCAAATCATAGTTGTAATTTGCATAATGTCCACCTAGAGAACATTCACACAAAAAATTGCAGTTATTTAATTAATAAACTACAGAAAAAATAGGATTTAATTTTGATACTATTATCTAATCAATAATTAACAACAAATCATTACAAAAATAACTATCTTAATCAATCTTTATGAAGTTTAGTTTTTTTTTTTTTTTTGGAAACTGATCCTGATTATCTCTTTGAGGCGAATCAGAACCCCCCGGTATTCCTACGGGTTCGACTCTTTGAGCCGTCTATGGAACTAATCCATAGTTCGGGTGCGAGTTCAAGAATTACGGTACTTATGCCCCTCCCATATGAGGTTGGTGGGATTCGAATATGAAATTTAGTTTGTTTAAGATGTATCAACACGTAATTAAATAATAATATGAAAAAAATTACATTATAATTCATTAAATTTAAAACTTAAAAGGTGTATGAATGAGACTAATAATCAATATTTAATCATGTGATTTGATTAGTTCAAATATAAATACAACAAGTTGCTTTTTATTATGAGTTTATAAATACCACTTAAATCATAATCTTTAATTTTTATCCATAAAAATATCATATACTATTTTTTAAAGTATATATAAATAGAAAATTATTAAATTAAAAAAGCGTCATGCAATAAATAAATAAATATATATATATATATATAATAACCAATTAAATAAA